TGTGAAATGCATGGTGCATCTGTGATTGGTCTCATGTGGTTGTTTCTAATTAATGGCCAATCACAGCCAGCTGGCTTGTCCGAGACACAAGCTTTTGTTATCATTCCTTCCTATTCTATTCTTAGCTAGCCTTCTGATGAAACCTTTTCTTCTATTCTTTAATATAGTTTTAATGTAATATATATCATAAAATAATAAATCAAGCCTTCTGAAACATGGAGGTCTCTTCCCCAATCTGAAAACCCCTGTGAACACCATCACAGGAGCCTTCTACTCCAGCAGCAGGTCAGGCCATCCTGTGGCCTCCAGCTGCACAGGCCACAATGGTCCAGGCAAACAGCCACAACAATGCTGCTGTGTCTCTGAAAAGCAGAACTTGGTTTTTTGTCTTCTACACAGCCTATGTGAGAGAGAAATATTTACATAAGGCACTGTCATGGCAATGCACGTAAAGGAGATCAATGGGACATTTCCCCTCCAGTGGCCCTTCCAGCCTACACAAGCCTCTCTGTCTGTGGCACAGTGAAATGTCACCATGGGCTCAAGAGAGATCTAGCTCTGCGACAAATTCTAGCTCCCTTCCCTTGGAAATGTGAATTTCCTCAGGTTGTGTAATGGGAAAAGGCAAGAGGAGGCACTGGGATGGGCCTGCCCCTGGGAGAGGGCACAGCTTCTCAGGTTGGGAGAAGCTGTACTGTTGGGGAAGATGAAACAGGAAAGCCTTATAAATATGATTGCCTGGCAAAAGATTTTGAGAATATGGAAACTATAAGTGAGATTGAAATGAAAGCAAGCTTTGAGATACCTCAGTTACTGAACAACTGGAAAACAATGGCATGGCCAGCTGAAGGCAATCCCCTTTTGATGGAACAACACCCTCTGCTTGCAGACAGGCCCAAGGGTCAGAGCAGACCCTGCCAGCTTGGCAGAAGGGTCCAAAGAGGAGTTTTTAGGATTTAAAATGTAACACAGTGTGGTGATGTAGTGATTCTTATAGGCTGTATGGAAATGCTATAGGATTTGTATCTTGTTCTAGACTGGTTAGTGAGAATCAGAATATTCAACACAGAAGATGATTTTTTGTATTGTAACGAGAACTTTGCTCTCTTAGCTCTTCCTTTTCTATGCTCTTCCCCTCTTGCTCTCTCACCCTCTCATCCTCTCTCCCCCTCTCTTCTCTCTTTGCTGCTCTGAGCTGTGTTTGGCAGCTCCCAGCAGGGCCCTGCACCCAGGCCCTTTGCAATAAACCCCAAGTTCCAGCCCTGGCTGCAGAGATCTCTGTCTCTGTCCATCCTGACCGTGTTACCCCCCAACACTCCTAGACTGTACCAACAGGGACAGAGTGGGAATGACACATCCCCAGCACAGACCGTCCATCATGTGTTTGATGCCAGCCTGCCAGGGCCTGGCAGGACCCACAGAATGACTTAATTCACTGCATCAGCATGGGAAAGCAAACAAACACCAAAGAACTGGGTGAAGCAGCCAAGTCTGGAGGTGACACTGTGGCAGATTTGTCACTGCCCTTTCCTCTTACTTCAGGACACCACAGAACAGGATGCAGCCTCTCCCAAGAGCAGGGGGAAGTATACAGGGTAGAGAGAGCAGAAATCTCTCTATAGCCTGAATATTTCCTCCTGCTCTTGGGAGAGACCTGGGTCCAGCTGCCCTCAGTACCTTTAATATCACCTCAGTCTTGTGGGAAGAGGTTTCACAGTACAAGGGCATCACAGGTTCAAGCTTAAGAGGTTACCTAAGGGAACAAGGAAGGAGAGATATCCCTGGAGATGTCATATGGAGGTGTCTCAAGACCACAGGTGAATTCTGGGACCCTGGGGGGACCCCTGGACTGGTCCCTCAAAACTGTCCACACTGAGCAGAGCAGTTTCCTCCCTGCCTGAGCAGCTCCTGGAGCAATCAGGAGCAATCCCCTCCTCAGGTGGGAAGGCTGCAGAGGGGTGCATCAGCCCCATGGCAGCAGTTCCCCCAGCACAGCCCTGCAGATGCTGGCAGCTCCAGGGGTCCTGTGCACTTGTGGAGCCCCATTTCACAAAGAGAAAAAGCTTCTGCTGACTCTCAGAAAGAGCTGAACACATGGGCTGAGCTCCCCCACATGATTTCCTGGTCTCTAGTAAGGGCTGAGTTCACACAACAGCTTTTCCCCTTGGTGGGGGTGGCTGTTGTCATTGCCTGGAATCTTGTTTCCCCAAAAATACCAGAGATACTGAATGTGCCTGGAGCTGCTGTACCTGCAGCCATTTCTGGCTGGTGCTAGCCCAGCAGATCCAAAATCCTGCAAGCCTGGGATGGACGCACGCACGTTCCCACATCCCCATCACCATGGCAGAAGCTGTGTTTCTTAGGAAACCAGCCTAGCAGCAGCATCCCTGTTTAGGAGGAGAGATGAACTCTGGATGCAGAGTGGATTTTAGAAACCACTCTCTGCTGCTAGCACCTGCCTGGCTCTGCAGTGCTCCCATGGCAGAGAGGGCTGGAAAAGGGTGGTGAGGGAAGGATGAGAGGGAAAGGGAAGGATGAGGATGTGCTCTGGGTTTTGTGGGAGTTTCTTGGCAAAGCAGGTAGAGCAGCCAGCTGTGACATGACCCTTGTGCTCTACCTGCAGGCTCACCTGGAGGGGTGAGCACACCCAGCCCCTGCACTGCTGCTCCTGTGCCACCTTGGCCTCACACCCCCATGGGCTGCCGGGGTTTGTGACAGGGTGTCAGAACCCAGGATGTCCCTCTGGCTGTCCTGGATTGACCAAACCCCTGCCAGGGGGCTCAGAGACCCTGGCACAGAGCCCAAGACCCCTGTCACTTTGATTATGACCCATGGAAAAAATTAACAACCTTATATGAGGACCTGCAAGCCACGAAAGTTTAAGTAGAATAATAGTTTGTCACAGGGTGAAAAAAAGATTTTTTGGGGTTTTTAGAATGGGGGGGTTCAGGAGGAAAGATGGAGGAATCTGGGCATGTCCAGCCTTTCTCCTTCTTCTTGACCTCCATTTTCTGCTGTGATGCTGGCACTTACAGATTGGTTTAGAGTAGAAGCTCACTGTCTAACATAGATGATAGGTATTGGGAAGTTATGGTAAATATTATACATGTGGTTTTTAGTATAAAAAGATAAAACAGCCCCAGGGAGCAGGCAGAGTGCCTCTGTCTGACCTGCTGGACAGACCTCAGCAGGCCAGAGAAAGAATTTTATAGATAAGAAGCAATAAACAACCTTGAGACCAAGAACAGAAGAGTTCTGACTCCTTCTTTGACTGCTGGGCTGGGAAAAGAGACTTTCTGACACATCTTGGGGTCACTGTGAGCAGCAGAGATCCCAAGAGCAGGGGGTGGCACCCACCCAACTCAGGTTGTGGTTCTGCACCTTGAGCTGGGCATGCTGCAGCAATGCAAGGAAATTCTGAGCCTCAGGGCTGTCCCTGCTGGTGCCCTCACGGTGTGAGCTGGTGCCCAGGCAGTGCCCATCTGGTGCCTCGTGAGCAGGAGCTGCCAGGGGCACATCCTCAGTGGTGGCAGCCACAAGGGCTGCTTCAAAATGCTCCTTGGAGTGGAACTGGTACCTCAGCTACTGTACCATCCCTCCATCCCCAGAGGGGTTTGTTCCTTGGAGATGTTGTACTTTGGAAAGTAAAAATAACTTTCCCATCCTGGGAACTT